CCCCTAGTGTAAAAGCTTTGGGGATTAGTCCTTGGGGATAGCTCGGTTTGGAAGTCCCAGTCTCGCCCATTGTGTGCATGGGATGTATCTTGCGCAGCTTAGCTATCCCGACGAGACTCTGGTAGTATATCCTTCTAGTGAGAGTGCGCAGAGGGTGTGACCCGACATGTACTCCTAGACTACTCTTCGTGTATTGCTAGCGGCAATATGCCATGTGATGTTTTACTGGCGCCACATGCATGATAATATGTAGTCCGTGTCCATACTTATGCATTTTTAATGTTATGTGATAAATTGATGGTTTATGTCTTGGATGAGTGTAATGTTACGTTGTTAATATATCTATGCTATATCTTTCTTGTTTGTGTTTGGCTATCCGGTGTATATTTCTACACTGTGAGCCAGAGTGAGATGTTTCTCACTCCCTTTCTCGTGTTGTTTTGTTTTGACTGTTATACAGGTGATCATCAGCGTGAGGCTGAAGATGTTGGTGATGAAGCTTAGGCTTCTATGTTGGATTTTGCTCTGATAGGACATGTGACATCGGGACATAGATAGAATTAAAATATGACATTGTTTATGATTTATTAAAGTATATATTTTGGAAAATTCAAATTTTATTCTTTGTAATTTTACCGACATGTTATTTGGATTAAGTTTATGAATGTGAACTCTTTACCCTTACATGGCTGGAAATTTGATTTTTAATGATGAAAATTTTTATATTTTTTATAATTACTGTATGTGTATGTTGGGGTAGAGGGTGTCACAATTTCACAAATACTTGAATTTTAAAATTTTTATAAATTCTCCATCCAAACAAGGTATTTTACTTCAAAAAAATTTTAAATTCTTCAAATAAATAAATTATTTCATTCAAATTTCTCATCCAAACACACTATTAGGGTTTATTAAGAATAACAACCACAGGAAGTTATAGTATTAACTATTAAGGAGGGGCATTTTCAATTTGGTCTAACACTCGTATGGTTGAAGGTTTTATATTAGCATTAGAGTTGTAAATGTTGCTGATACAGTAGTAGGAATGATAAATTAGCTGATTATAGTTCTTATTTATTATCTTTGGATAAAAGAAATAGGAATTAACCATTTGGATTTTGTTAGGATCAGCATGTTTCTTTGAACATCATTTTTATAAGGATTGTGGTACCCCTTTACTATCTTAATTATAAACCTCTTGATTGCTGAAAAATAAATAAACATAAAAAACAAAACAAAGCAAAGCGTAGCGTGTATGCTGTTGCACACGCTTATATTTTCTCCCCCACTCAACGAACAATATTTTGCTTCATTTCGCATTGTTCGCTGTCATGATACAAAGCATGAGAAACCGACAACGCTTTATCCGGTAGAAGTGTTCATTATATTGGATCAATCACTATAGGTAAAATATATTTATTTAAAATATAATTATATATAATTTAAGTGTTGATTTTAAATGTAATTTAATATATTTTGTATGTTATTATAGTCTATACCAACACTTTTTAACAACATATCAACATATATTATATTTAATGTCTGTTTTAATAATATATTTTATGTGTCACTATAAGACATGTGTCACTATATGATTATTTTCTTGTAGTGTAAATTCGATAATTTGAATCGAACCAGTTAAATTGGTGCAAATTTTTCTTTTTGTTTAGATCCAACTCGAATCAAATTAATTAAATTCGATACTATTAGTTTATGTATTGGATTTATACATTTAAAATTCTAACAAAATCAATTAATTTATATATTATTATTTTATTATTTTTATTTGATTAGAAATAAATATATATATATATATATATATATAT